TAAAAATATAAAAAAATATAAATCAAAAAATTTCAAACCAAGTAAAGCAAACTTAAATAGATTAAAATAAAATGAAACAAAATAAAATGAAGTAAACAAAAATAAAAAATGCAAATAAAAATAAAAATGAATAAAATTAAAATCAAATAAAAAAATTTAAATGAAATTGAATTAAAAACTAAAACTTAAAAATAAAAATAAGTACATTATCTATGTTACGCTATAATATTTCGTGGTTTCAAAAGAGCCGAGCTATCTTTTCACAACTGCCAAACCAAACATGTTTTTCTTTTAGTTAAAAGTCAGGCATTGATGAAAATGGATCGCTTAAGGCAGCAGTCTGTTTCTGAGGCTTCAAAATATTCATTTTTTTCTTAACGCTTTTCTAAAACTATCCAAGATTATATCTTTGAAATTTCAATGGCCCATTCGACATATTTTCGAAACTAGTGCACAATTTTTTTTTTTCAAACTTTAAAAACAGCTGGAATTTTCCAACTTCGTCGGTTATTTTTTAGTTCATATAAAAGATATACATATGTCTCTTTTAATTAAAAAAAAAAAAGAATTGATTCGACTATTTTAGATGCATGCACGACCTCCATTCCCGGCACCATTTCATGAGTTCATACTGCAGCCGTTTCAGAAAACTCATCACCACCAACAATCAGCTCTCGCAGCAACTGAAGCCAGCTGAGCATTCACAGCACCGTACATACGTCGATTGAGTGCTTAAACAGCAAGCAGTGAACGGCTCTTGTTCTTTAAAACAGATGCGTGATTGGATCTTAATTCTATGAAAACGACAACGGCGACAATTGAAGAATGCAGCGGAAGAGGATACGGACGTATAATGATTTTATGGAGGGAACATCTCTCAAACCTGCTTAATGGCAATACAAATAACATACACAGAGATGGTGCACCCGGTATCCCAATTGATGACGATGGGAAACACGTTTCACTACCCGACTATGATGATGTTCGAGTAGCAATGGCCCGCCTAAAGAACAACAAAGCGGCAAAGGCCGATGGAACTGATCAGGTGCATGCATCAGCTTCTTTGCAAAATTTAGTCGGATGAAAATATGAGCGACAATTGGAACCTAAGTGTACTCTGATTAATACACACTTCGCCAATTACCGTGGAATCAACCCTCTTAACATCGCTAATTAGGTCCTATCGAGTGTATTGTGTGATACGTGGGCTTCACGCAATATCAGCAAGCTAATTGGACCTTATCAGTGTAAATCAACCACTGACCAGATATTCACCATGCACCAAACCCTGGAAAAGACTCGTGAAAAGGGTATCTAGTACCACCTCTTCGTCGATTTTAAAGTCGCCATAGACATGAATGAAATTGGTTTCCCTGCAAAATTTATACGGCTATGTAAGCTGCCGTTAAGCAACACTTAAAGCTCCGGCGGGATCGGAAAGAACCTCTCAGAGCCGTTCGATACCAAACGAGGTTAGATTTCTTTAATCTAATGGTGGGGAGAATAATAAGAGCTGTAGAGCTGAATAGAGAAGGTACAATCCTCTATAAGAGTACACAACTACTAGCGTATGCTGATAATTTAGACATTATTGGTCTCTACAACGGCAACGTAAGTACTGCATACTCCAGACTGTATAAGTAAGCGGAGCGTATTGGGCCGGTAGAGAATGGGGAAGAAAGATGAAGACGAAATATCTCCTGTCATCAAACAAACAGCCACCGGCTTCGCTACTTAACTCCCACTTCACTGTTGGCAGTCATAATTTTGAAGTCGTAGATAATTTCGGCTATCTTGGAACAAAAGTGGTGCAATTGAAATTAAAGTCCCCTCTCCACGACTCAACAAGTCACCTATCGTAACCGTCCTGCCATATGTGGTGCGGAGGCATGAACGTTGACAACATCTTATAAGTCGGTGTTTGGAGTCTTCAATAGAAGGGTTTCGCGTAAGATTTGCCACTCTTAACGAGTTGGGAACCGCAGCCGATGGAATGATGAGCTGTATGAGATATACGACGACATAGACATGTTTCAGTCAATCAAGAAAGAGCGGCTACGCTGACTAGAGCATGTGATCTGGCTGGAAAAGTTTTGAAAGTTTTCAATGCAGTACCCGCTGGTGAAAGCAGAATAAGATAAAGATCTCTAATCCATTGGAGAGGTCAGGTAGGGAGGGACCGGCTTTGCTTGGTATCTCCAAATGGCGTCAAACAGTGAAAAGAAAGAAATGAATGGCACAATCTTATAAATTCGGCTATAATTGTGCAAGCGGTTTCTACGCCATTAAAAAAAGAAGAAGAAGAAGAAATAAAAAATGTTTTTTCCATAGAAAAAATTGTAATTAAATTTTTTCACTATAAAAATAAAAATGCCAAATTAAGTTTATGAATAACAACACTGAGAGAGACTTGTGATGCCTAAAATATATGCAAAATATTCTTTGTAAACGCCAACACTGATAGAAAACATCACAAGACTCCCAGTACCTTGCATATATATAAATAATTTATATGTATTTTATTTTATTTTTTTTTTTTGATGTTTTTATTTAAGAATCCATTCAATCAAATTTGTATACACAATTTACAACATTGATATGCTAAATTATATATAACTACCTGCATACATATGTACATGTGTCACCTTTCAAATACCGACCCAAGAGCAAGAAAAACACACAGCGACATTACAGCACAAACACACACATATATATGCAGGCTCACATGCACAGCTTCTTCTTCGAAAAGGTGTTTAATTGGCAAATTGTCTACAAGGAATCAAAATATCAGCAATGTTAGAACACACGTGCGCAAAAGGATCAGCAAATACTGAATGCAAAGATGCGCATTTATTTTTACCCAAACGCATACACAGCACACATACGAGCACGCACACGAGCGTGTGTAAATTTTTGAATTCATCCAAAAAGCGTGTGTGTTGATTATATTTGGTATTTGGAGTATGTAATGAAAATACACTTACTTATACTCACTAAGTCTGAAGAAACGAGTGTGAATGGATGAGCAGCATATACGAAAGAGAATGCTAATAATCGGGTATAAATTTGTGAAAGGACACCTGTGGGACCTTTGCCTGCTGTCGGTGGCATGTAAATTTGGAAAATAATAAAAAAATAGCATATTAATATGCATGTGCTTATTACTAGGAAATAAAGGAAATTTTAGATTTTTGCATATTTATTTTTCGTCTGACATTTGTCTTGAAAAAATTGAAAAAAAAAAATTTTTTATTGTTTCAACGAATATCAATTTATTTTATGAAATTAAATTTTGAATTTAAATACTATAATAAAATATTTTACTTAAAGTATTTCTACAATAAGTACACGAGGTTTGCATATTTGCCAAAAGTTTTTTAATTAGAAACAGGGAAACGCCAAAAAAAAACAATTTTAGCGCATTAAAAGCATAAAAAAATATTAACGAATCTCCAATAAAATTGCGGAATTTTCATTTTTAAAATAAAATCCAAAAATTATAAAATAAAAAATTTTCGTACTTTTTCATGTAAATAAAAGATAATAATAACAATTTTATAAAAATAATTCATTGAAATTCAAAAAAAAAAAAACATTAAATAAAATTCAGTTAAAATCTTTCATAAAAATTTAATCCTTTGTCTAGTGCATCACCCTTTAAATGTTTCATTATAACTAACCCAATTTGCATATTGGATAAATTTCACTTAACAACAAAACATTGCCTACATTTAAGGCTGTACATGAGAGGCGCTCGAATGTAGGCAACGCTTTTTGTTCATCCATTTCGTAAGTTTTTTTAACAAACTTAATGCTTGTTTACTAATTCAAATGATTTTCACCTATGTGACAAATTCAAAAATAAAATGTTTTCTTGAAAGAAGATATTAAAAATGGTAAATATTTGAATTTAGCGAAACATCACTGTGAATGAATAGTGAAATAGTACATGTTATGATATAGAAAACAAAAGAGAAATATTTTCAAAAAAAAAATACATCTTTAGAGTAATTTTTATTACTTACAATAAATATAAAATATCAAAAAAAAGTTATACTAAATTAATAAATTATAATCAAGCAATTGTTGCCTACATTTGGGCTTACTTTTGAGCTCAGTTTTAAGTTCCATCATAAAAGCAATGACAATAATGGTCAACACGGAAACATTATATTGTATTGCCTGCTCTTAATGGAATGTTGATTTTGTTGTAGATAATAATGTTAAGGAAATTTTATAAAAATATTTATTGACTTTGTACAAAATAACTGTATTAAAACGCACGTAAAATCAAGCACTTCATAAATTCGAGCAAACACAATTAACAAAGTCTATTACACAAAATAGTATAATTTGAAGTGTTTAATGTAAATATACAAAAGCAAATGACTGCCTTTATTGAAATGTTTAATAAATAAAGCAATTGACTACAGACTATGAATTTCTCACAAAGTAAATAAAGCGTACTTGTCTGCATACACTTTAAATTAATTGCAAATATTTAATTGCTGATACAGTTTGAATGGCACTCGAGCTTAACAATTAATGACAAAAATATTAGATTAAAATTTCAATGAATTCTTCAAAAAAAAAAAAAAATCCTGCAAAAAATATTTAGTGTAAAAAATTGACTTAACATTTGTGATGAAAGACCACTTTGTTCTTATTAAAATTGTCAAATATGTACTAAAATGTCCGGTTAAGTGTTCGAGCGTGCTGCGTCGCAAAAAGTGTAAGCTTCAACGCCGCTGCCAGAGCGTCGCCAACTACCAACACTTTGACACACTTTAAAATTATCGATTAATGCATGTACTCATATAGACCAGTTATTTTTTGATATTGTGTAAATTTAGCATGGAAAAAATCAATAGATGTGTAATAAGGCATTTGAGCAGGTACAACACGGCGTATACTTGTTGCGTGTCATAGATGGAAATTAAAGTAAAGGGGTGGTATAAATGTCTTAAAACTGTTTTTAATTAAAAAAATGTATTACTTACGCTTCTGCCATCAAGTTGCTATCGAGAGACTTTTTCTGTAGAAAAAAAACAAGAACAAAATAAAATTTTTTTTAACTTTTAAAAATTGATTTTTTATTGCATATTTCGTAAATAAATATTGAACATAAACTAAAAAATAGCACTAAAACAAAACAAAACTCAGGTTAGTTATGTTAAAAAGGAAACATAAATAAAGCAATATTAAAAAAAATATTTAAATTCAATTTAGATTATTTTAACTTTGTGTGTGTTTATGGTCCTGATAACGTAACAGTCAATCATGCACAAATTTCGATCTGTCAATTCGTTCCCATGATTTTGATGTAACAGCTGCTCCACAGTGTAGAAAATAAATTGTCGAAAATGTTGAATCCGGCCGTCATGCGAGCACTGTTTCTATTGCCACGGAGCTAAACATAGCACAAAAAATTGTTCGGATGGACTTGAAGAATCATTCACTATGAGCTGTTCCCCTACGGCCACACTCAAATCAAAAATAAAAGAGTATTTCCTTCTACTCATATAATATAAAATAAAAAAATTAAACCGATACAAAATACACAAAAAAAATATATAAAATATGAAAAAAAGAAATAATATAAAGTATTGTAACATAAAAGAAATTAAATCAAAAAAGAAAATATTTAATTAAAACAAAAAAAATAATTAATTTAATTTAAATTAAAATAAATGAAACTAACATAAAATAAATAAAAGTAGAATAAAAAATTAACGAAATAACATAAAATTAATTAAAATAAATTTATATTAAATTAAAATTTAATAAATTTAATTAATGTTAAAGAAATGATATTAAATAAAACAAATTAAAAGATAATGAAATTAAATTAAACAAAAAGAAATGAACTAAAATAAAAAAAACTAAATTAATTTAAGGTAAAATAAAATGATTAAAAATAAATTACTATAAAATTAAAATGAATTTAAATAAAATTAAAACATATAAAATTAAATTGCCTAAAATGAAACGGAATGAAATAAAAAATTGTAAAACAAAAAACAACAAGATTAAAATAAATAATATTAAATTAAATAAGAAAATAACATAAAGAAAATTAAAATAAAATTAAATATAAACTATAATAAAATATTTAATTTTTAAAAGATAATTAAAAAATAATAAAAAAAAATAAAGACAAATGATGTTAAATAAAATAAAATAAATCTAAACAAAACTAAAAAACTTAAATTAAATTAAATCAAAATGAAATAAAATAGAATAAAATAACATAAAATAAAAAATAAAATAAAAATATGAGAAAGAAAATGAAGTCAAATAAGGCAAAATAACGAAAATATAGCAGAATGAAAATGCAGAAATTAAATAAATTAAAATAAAATAAAATAAAATAAAATAAAATAAAATAAAATAAAATAAAATAAAATAAAATAAAATAAAATAAAATAAAATAAAATAAATTAATATGAAATAAACAACAAAAATAAAATAAAATGCAATAGCAAAACATAAAATTAAACCAATAACCTAAATTAAAATGACGTAAAATAAAATCAAACACAAAAAAATACAAAATTCATCAAATTAAATTAACTTAACTAAAGTAAGTTAAACAAAAAAAACTGAAATGAACTGAAGGGAAAATGAGATAAAATAAATAATAAAGAGAAAATTAATTCAAATCAAATAAAATAAAATAAACGAAAACAAAGCAAAATGAAATAAAATTAAGTCAAATAAAATAAAATAATAAAATATAAGAAACATAAAATTAAATTATTTTAAATTAATTTAAGTAGAATTAAAGCGAGCAAAATGAGAAAAATTTAAATTAATTAATTGCATTGTAATTTATTTCACGTTTCACCATCTTATTTGATTCTAGTCTATTTCGTTTCACTTTTTTTCATCAAGTTTCTTGTATTTCATTTACATATTTATTTCACATTTTTTTGTTGGATTTATTTATTTTTTTTTTTACTTTTATTTAAATTTCATTACAAGTATTTTATTTTATTACAGCAATCAAAGCAGATACGACCTTTCCTTACAGTATCAAAATTCAAATTGTTTTTGTAACTTTATGCGCCGTTGAATTCATTTGCAAAGCACAATCATAGTTCAGATACTAAAAGAGTTACGTAGAAGAAAATCGACAACAGTGCAACTTAACCACAAATCATAAGACGGCACACTTATGCTAAGCATTATTATTATTAATGTCATAGTTCATTGTGGAAGAGAGAGAGAGATGGAGAGGAAGAGGTAGAGAGACTTCTTTTATAGAATATTGAATGGCAAGCATAGCAAAATACTTCTTCCCCTTTAACTGGCTTCCCACTCAAATAACTCACATCCTCTTAAGCACTCTTTCCCTCTTTATATTCCCTACTCTTAAAATATTCAATCTCCAACTGGTCTGAGACCACCTGCATTAGCTCACATTAAAAGAAAAAATTGTGCAATTAAAATTTACGACGTCCACAAATGACTATGTCAACAGTGTGGCGAAGTTTAATCTGTAGTGTGAGAAATTAGCGTCACCGCGTTCTGCCCGAATACTTTAATGAGCGTTTTTATTGGTATTTCATTTTTTTATTGTTTCTATTTATTATTATTTTTTTTTTTTGTTTTCTTCAGGTTATTTGTAATGAATTTATGGTAATAAAATTATGAATAAGATGAGCACAGTGCACCTAGAAATAATTGAATGTACACTGTGACTATATCAGGAGTGATGCAATTGGCAAGTGGAATGAATAAAAAATGGAATTTTTGGCGATTAGCTAATCGGTTTTTTCTAATTACATTTCTTCTTGAATTTTTTGCTACAAACTCATATGTCAGTCAATCCAAATATTTTTGAAATGATTTAAACGGAATTTGAATTTATGAACTTTTGGAACACCTCAGCATGAGCTCGTGCAACATTTGGCGTATTTATGAAGTTATGGAACACTTTAGCATAGCAATCTTCTATAATGATTTTTAGAAACGAAAAAAATTGTAAGTTGGTAAAGTTGCCAACTTGCCTAACAATTTATATACATACATATCGAATAATTGAGTTGAATGAAAATTTTATCTAGCCACTTTTTGTATAGGATTTGTATATTTTAACATTCACTTTCAAAAATTTCTGGTCACGCTCTTTTACTTTCGCTCTTCCTATTCGTTTTGTCATCACATTTATAATTTAATCGATTAGATAATCATTTTTACAACCCAATATCCATTAAATGCGCCAGCCCTACATTTGCGAATTCGCAAAAAGTTTCATTTCAAAGTTGATTGAAAATGCACATAAAGTCGAGACAGAGCAATCAGCCAATTCGTACTTTGACCTTTACCTCAAGGTGGGACCATAATAACGGTAAAAATAAACAAAGAAAAAAAATGCACCTTTTTTATTCCTTTGTCAATTTGACAGCACGTTAAGAAGTGTCTTTGTTTGTTTGGTGTACGTCTGGTCTGATGGCTGCTGCTGTCATTTGTGTGTGTGTGTGTGTGTGTGTGTGTGTGTGCGTGCGCGAGCGTGTAGATATGTGCGAGCGTGTAGATATGTGCAGTTTTTTGACTTTTATGCTGGTCGGTGAACTATTATTATTTTTTTTTTCTAACTAAGCGAGAGCAAAGCGGCGTTTTCTCATCAAAAAAGCAATGGAAAAATATTTCAAAAAAAAAAATTAATTAAATAAAAAAAAATTAAAAAATGAATGACGGATATTTCTTATATATAAAAAAAAACCGAATCACTTATTTTACCTCAGAATTTTATTGCTCGCTTAACTAATTGAATACTCTTAGTGTCCTTTACAATAATTCAAATAACTTGAGAAAAAACAAAAATTAAATAAACCTCAAGCACAAACAATCGTTTGTATTCGAGCAAAGCGAATTTATATGGCAACCGTGCGGTCAGCTTAAATAAACAAATATTATTATTTCCATAGTTACATTTTTTATTTTTTTTTGCATACACGTATGTATATATGTATTTGTATATTTATAAACAAACATACGCATAAATATATCAATTATTTAACTAAAGCCAGTTGTTTACGACATTACCCATCATTTGATTTATGGAATGCTGCCATTGAAGCAGCTCCGACGATGCTCAAATAGCCGAATTAAAATACAATACATATACATAAATAAACAACGGAAATCACAGTGCGGAAAGTATACGCGCAACCAAAGGAGCAACAAAAAATCTGCATATGTATATGTATATGTGTGTTTGTAATTATTGGTTATTTATTTGGTTTGAAATAAGTATAATCAAATAAGCTGGTGTGATCGGATGAGATAGCTGACGGTGAGGACTACATAGTATACATATATAGTATATACAGTTTTCAATTATATTTGAAATGAATTTTTGTATATTCTTTTGAATTTTATGAGCTTTTTATTTTACTATTATTTTTTGTGGGGCTTCTTAGCCACAAATGAATATAAAATTAATTAGTTAATTAATTTAATTAATTAATTTACATTTTCCGACATATTTCATATTGTTTCCAGTTTTCTTCAAGAATTGCTTTTTCCTTTGATTTCCCCATTAAAATTTGTATCCCATTTTTTTTTAATTTTTTCATATATAGCAAATTTGTAGGCTATGTTTTATTTTTAGAAATTTTTATACTGTTTTAGTTTTTCTTAAAACTATTTTATATAAAATATTTTATTGACATAATTTACAGTCAAACATTTGCTAACAATTTTATTAAGATGTTTCGTTGCAGATTAGGTATTTAAAAAGGTCGTGAGGTGCATGTTCCTTAAGTTCACATAATTTACTTCATAAGTACACAGAATCTGTTTCATAAGTTCACAAAATATGTTCCATAAATTCACCAACCTGTTCTTTAAAATCACATAATCTGTTCCATAAGTACACAGAATCTGTTTCATAAGTTCACAAAATATATTTCATTAATTCACAAAACCTGTACCTTATAATGACATAATCTGTTTCATAAGTTCAGAAAATTAGTTTCATAAGTTCACAAAATCAGTTCCATAAATTTATAAAATCGGCTCCAGAAA